GTGTCCCAGAAGACACCGGATCATTCACAAAGCGCAGCACATGCGCAGTGGGCACCCGGCTGTCACAGAAGCCAGCGCGGGAAGACTGTGCAGCGCTGGAGCGAGGAACAGGTAAGGCCCTGCAGGAGAGAACAGCTGAGCGGCCGGCCCGGTATTCTGACATGGTGGCCGCAAAAATACCGGACCGGCCGCTTTATATTCGCTCCATAAGACGCACTGACATTTCCCCCCCTTTTTTGGGGGGAAAAAAGTGCGTCTTATGGAGCGAAAAATACGGTATATTCTTTTATTATCTATTCTTTTCTTTGCTATTTTCTATTATTTATTTTTCTATTATATTTTATTATTTTCTATTCTATTTTCTGTTTTATTGTGATCTTTTATATTCTGTTTTATTCTATTCTTTTCAAAATTCGAATTTTGAAAGGTGGCTATATTCTAACACTAATACACATAGTCTTTGAAGAAAATCAGCAATATTCAGCAATATGTTTATATTTCAGTTTTGTTTTTTAATTTGAATGCTTTTGTTTTCAAATTAATTTTCGATTTAGATTCCAATTTCAAAATAAATTTTGTTTTGTTATGTCTGATTCATTTAAATTTGTTATTATTGTAATTCGGAAATTCTGAATAATGAAAACGTTGTCCGAATTTCAAACCACACACGCCTAGTGCCGACAACATCTGTTCAGAGTTTGGAGTGCAGCCTGGTTGGTCTGGTCCGAAAGGGGAGGCTTCTTTTGGAAGATGGCGAGTCCCTAACCTGTCCCTTCTCGTCAGGAACCTTTCCCTGATGCTAATCCCTTTCCCTGCCAGGTGTGGTTTCTCTCCTTACTATAGTCATTTTGCAAATGAGTGCCAATACCTGGAGGCAGGAATTATAAAAGGCTCTGTTGACCTAAGATGGTCACCAGGGATCACCTAGATGCAGCGCAGCAAACCAGAATGCTGCTTCCAAGACCCAGGAAACCATAGAGAAGCCTTATTTCCTTTGACACCTGTCTACAAATGAACTAGGTAATTTAGTGCCACAAGCTCCCAAGTATGATTTTGACTTAAATGTATTCCTTTGTAGTGTTTTTAGGTTAATGTACACTTTCACACATTTATTTCGTCTAGATTAGGAGTTACCGGATTTGCCTTTGATCTTGTAGCAGTAGTTATACCTGCTGCATGATGTTGCTGTTTTGCTTCTACTTTACATTCAATCTGTAACAACCAATGAATGAACTAATACAAAAAACAACAATACTTTAATATTTTTGTAATCATATAGATCATTTTTAATAGATACTTATATAAGCAGTTGCAAAGCTGGGGGATATGGGTTTCTTACAGCTGTGTTGAGGGTGTTCTAAGATGATTCCCCCACCTCTGTCCAGAAGCACATTGCCACACTGTCAGGAGGCCTTCAATACAACAGCAGCACAGAGTTGAAGAGATCTCTCCTAAACTTCTCCTTTGCTCTGATGTGCTGATACAGCAGAGTACAAGCTTATATGGACTTCCCTCATCCTGCCGGGCGCCACTGTATATGAGGACTTGTAAGTGTTCAAATGGATGGAAGGGAATTTTTGCTGGTGAAGAGTTTTAACAGAAGCACACACCAATCACAGTATTTGCAATTCTTACCTTTAATGTCTGTATCATTTAAAATATTGTTTTAATGAAAGCAAAAGAAAAGCAATACAAGAAATACTGTATTCACAGAACAAAATATTTAAAAGCAGACATAAACAACAGTAAAAATAAAATGGTTTTAAAAGTGAAATATACTTAAGTATGCCTGGTTTTGGTTCAGTGTAAAGTTTTGATCATTTGCAGAGTAAGTTTAATCTGATATGCCAGACCCTTAGAAATATGATATTCAGTGTCCTTGGTAGTTCTGATGTCAAACCATTGTGGGGGTAGCTCAGGTGGGGGATCTCCTTCCCTGGGAAAAAAGGTAGTCCAAATAGCAAGGCTTTCTTAAAATCTGACTTGTCATCAGGTTTATTTATAAGGTTGCAAACATCAAAACAAACAAAACAGAAAATAAACCCTCACCATCCAGGCACTAACTAAACAGAGCAGATTCCTCTCTCAAAGGTGAAGGGCTTCTCCCTGTCACCAACAAAATGAAAACAATATGCAAACCTTTTCCTTGCTTGTGTAACACAAACATTCATCCACAGCTCACTCAGATATGACTCTCTGAGTCCCGAGCCAAGAGCAACTTCTTCCTTCCAGCCCTGCCTTATTTATACCACCTGCTGGTGGTCATCAGTGGACCACAAAATCCAGTCCTGAACCACATCTGCCATAATGGCCCAGAAAACCCAGAGTGGACTCCACCTTAATCTCCCAGATATGGTCTCATGCAAGGTGACACATAGCAGCCATTGATCACCTCACCTTTCATACTGTTACACCATCTACAGGGTTTCACTGAGTTACCTATAATCAAAGGGTCTGAGAGGTGTGCTGTAGGTGTGCTGGAGAGTAATTCATAATGCTTAGTAAACAATCTCTCAATGCCAACTTTACTGAATACATTTATGTTCCCACCTGACTGCAATCTGACAATCTGACATCCAGCATATTATTTAGCAGAATGATATTACCATTTGTTAGGTAAAAGATATGACATATATTTGATGCACAATTCTTTTAGGGGCTCTAATGTGTCTCCTTAGGCCTCTGGACCTTGTGTTTGATGTCTTGCTCATGGTATCTTATACATTGGTGTAGCCACTTTTTAGGAAGATAGCGCCATTAACATGGAAATTATTAAATATGAATTCAAGTAGAGTATTGAGATGCATGAAAATCCCGTTTTAAGTCAAAAGAAAACCAGACTCACAAATGTGTATTGCTCAAACTGCTCTGTACTATTTGTGGTTTATCCTTTGAAGAAGAAGCTAGAGGAGGATAGAAGCTAGAAGTAGATGATGATGCTTCTTCCTTATTTTCAATTTGAATACTGTTTGTCAAATGTGTCTTAAGCTGGCTTAGGTATATCTGCTTAAGTTTAGATATGATATTTACATCTGACCATTTGGTTACTGGCCATGTACAGTACTGTGTCCCATTTTCCGAACTTTCCCCTGCTGAGCAGGCTCAGTTACTCATAAAGGCTGTCCTGGCCCCTTGCCAAGCCTCCTATTGAGGATTGGTCAGGATCAGACTAGCCACTCCTCACCTTCGCCCACAGCTTCTAGAACTTTCTCCAAAGTTCTAGTGCAGGGGGAAGTCTCAGAGAGTTAGTCTGTAGAGCCTGTCAATTCTGACCTAAATTTGACCCTGCTAGCTATCACACCCAGGCTGCTACTGAGCCTTCCTGACTAGCAATCAGAGCTAGCGCTCCCCCTAGCTACCTAGGAGGGCACTACAATAGCTATTCCTAAACCCCTTGCAGACTCCATGCTGTCCCTAATGGTGTTCATTCTGATTTTTTTTGGGCAATTGTTTGGGAGCAATAGTCCTCTACAGCTGTCCGGCATGTTTCCTTTAGTCACTGCTATAGTACTACAAAGAGTAGGGACCTTGAGCTTTGCTGTTTGCAGCAAGCTGTGTTACAGCAGCAGAATTGACAACTTCCCCTCTGCTGCTGGAACAAATTTGAGTCAGGGTAAGTGCTTCTCAGAGGAAGCCTTGTATTTTTATTAGTGAACACAAGGCTATCTTTGATTTGAGGTCAAAATTTGTGATGTCATTCAGCCACTTCTCCACCTGGGGCAATCAGAAGAAACCATATATTCATTGACAAAGATACAAGGTGGATGAGAAGTCCTTGTACCTCTGCCAGAACACAATGCTGCAAAATGTATGTAGTTGATGCTACTATAGTATGTTACAGTGCTCAGTCGCCAAATAACTAAGTAACGGAAATAGTTCTTTTGAAACGGCTTGGTCCAAAAAAAAAAACAATGTAAAGTGACAGGAAACATGAACTTTGGCTCTTACTGACTGCTTTTACCCTATGTTGTGACATTTTGCAGCATGTGGGAACATGCTATGTTAGGCAAAAATGCTCTTTTTTTTACAGCACATACCAATATAGCGTGTTGCTGTGAACTGAAGCCATGGGACATAGAACTATTTGCTCTTGTTCTAGGTGTTGGGACTGCATTGAGCAAAAGCTGCTCAAAGCTGATGGTGCGAAGCCCTTAGTCTTCTGCAACAGCCTTACTTTACATTATTTACTTTGCCTATTTTTTTTTTTAAAGAAAAGTTTCCTTTTAAAGCAGTAGTAAACTCTCCCGCTCCGATGCTGCTGTTTAAATAAGCCAGTATAGTAAGGTATTCCAACACATTCTGCATTATAATTAGGCCCCATTTGCATATTTCTTATGTTATTCCAGCTGGTTTAAAATTTGTGCTTCCTGGGATGAGACATCGCCATCCTAACTAATGTCTTTCGAGTCCATAGTGCAATATATTTCCAACCTTTAAGCTAGTCCTTTCTGTAATCTCACACATGCATATGGGGTGCATCAGGAAATGAGACTGTAATCCCATGGCATCTTGACACAGTGCTGCAGATATGATGAACACGACATACTACTTAATGGACTGGCACCACAGAGAGCGTGCCGCGAATTGGGAGAAAGGTGCACATGCGCCGCTGATATCAACAATAAAAGCAGGACAGATTACAAGCCAACTGAGCAAGTAAGGTGACATCTACATACAGCGATTTGTAGTGCTTTTAGTGATGATTTATACAGTATGTGCAAAAGTTATGGGGGAGAGTTTACTACTACTTTAACTACCTGCCGACCGCAGATAGCCGAATGACGGCTGCACTGCGGCCGGCCAGTTCTGAGTGGACGTCATATGACGTCCTCCCAGAACGCGCTCTCCTGCGCGCCCCAGGGGGCGCGCACACCCGGCGATCTCTGTGATCGCTGTGTCCTACGGACACAGCTGATCACGTGATGTGGTAAAAGGCCAATCACAGCGGCCTTTTACCACCTGATCAGCGGTGTCCAATGACACGCTGATCAGAGGGAAATGCAAGTGCCGGTTCTCGGCTGCACTTTCCTCACGCTGTCAGATCGTGAGGAAAGTACTGCCGAGAACCGGCAGTTGTCAGAGCGGGGATCGGCACCGATCATCAGGGCACTGATGATCAGTGCCCTGATGATCGGTGCCCAGCAGTGCCACCCGCAAGTTCCGCCCACCTGTGCCCAGCAGTGCGCCCACCTGTGCCCAGCAGTGCGCCCACTAGCTCCGCCCACCTGTGCCCAGCAGTGCACCCACCTGTGCCCACCAGTGCACCCACCTGTGCCCACCAGTGCACCCACCTGTGCCCACCAGTGCGCCCACTAGCTCCGCCCACCTGTGCCCAGCAGTGCACCCACCTGTGCCCAGCAGTGCACCCACCTGTGCCCACCAGTGCCACCCACCTGTGCCCACCCACCAGTGCCACCCACCAGTGCTGCCCACCAGTGCTGCCAGTCAGTGCCCAGGGGTTGTGCCAGTCAGTGCCGCCAGTCAGTGCCCAGCAGTGATGCCAGTCAGTGCCGTCTATCAGTACCCATCATCAGTGTCACCTATCAGTGCTGCATATTAGTGCTGCCTATCCGTGCCACCTCATTAGTAATGCCTATCAGTGCCCTTTAGTGCTGCCTATCAGTGCCCATCAGTGCCGCCTATCAGTGCCCATCAGTGCTGCCTCATCAACGCACATCAGTGAAGGAGAAAAAATACCTGTTTAAAAAATTTTATAATAGAAACAAAGAAACTTTTTTTTTTTTTTTTTTTTTTTTTTCAAATTTTTTGCAATTTTTTTATTTATAGCACAAAAACTAAAGCACCCAGTGGCGATTAAATACCACCAAAAGAAAGCTCTATTTGTGAGAAAAAAATGATCAAAATTTCATATGGGTACAATGTTGCATGACCGCGCAAATGTCAATCAAAGTGCGGCAGCGCTGAAAGCTGAAAATTGGCCTGGTAAATAAAGGGGTATAAGTGCCTGGTAGGCAAGTTTAAACAGCTGCAGTGTTTGCTGCATAGTAATAGAAACTCATTGATTTTTCTTTTTTTTTGCTGCATAGAATTCCTCTTTAAATTGGCCATTTAAAGGTTTGTGGTATGTTCAGTTACCATAAAATATCCCTATTCATCAACATGTCTAAAATAAAACATGTCTCTGGACAGTTTGACAACTGAGACCCCATACAAATATATATTTTAAAATATGTATCTGCAGTGGGTGTATTCATATGTATTAAGTAATATGTTTTGAAGAATGTATATATGCATAAACTAATTGCATGATGCAATTTCAAGCAATGAAATACATTCTCACCCCTTTAGTCTATCAACTGCAGTCCAGAATAAAAGAACATTATATAAATATTGTGAACTTGCACCTTGAAGTGCCAGTGATGGACACTTTGGCTTATAATCTTTAACTGATCAAAGTGGATGGTTGACTTGCCATAGCAATGGAATTCAAATAATTGAATATTAAAGGACTATAAATAGCAACTTAAACCGCTTTACAGCAGGACAAAATCTTCTCCTAGAAATAACAAAAAAATACATTACTGACACTGATCTACCTTCTAATGTAATGCAAACATTTATTTTGAAAGACTTCAGTTCTCATCTCTATAACAGCCTTTCTCAACCAGGGTGCCTTGAGGATTCTTCAGGGGTGCCTTGGCAAAATGTCTAAAAATTGCCTAAAACTTCTATGCAAGCAAGCAGGTGGAACAAGCCTGCCTTTTAGTTACACAAAGTCACAGGTTTTCATTGTGCACCATTACCACCTTGTAGCCACCGACGTCCTGACAACCACTGACATCATCAATTGATAAGGAGGATGTCAGCTGCCTGCATATCACCCTAGTTTGACCCTCCCTTCCCCTCTCAGTCAGTGCTGGAGTCACATTAGCTCAGTGATGGGATAAAAACTGGGAGAAGAGAAACACCAGAATACTAGTCAGTAGTACCAGTGTGCAAAAGTGTGTTTTCTTTGGAAGAATAAATCACTTCAAATGTTGGGTATCCTATATGTGTGGATATTGCTGGGCTATATAAAGCTATTAGAATAGTTTTTCACATTTTAGAATGGGGTGCTCTTTTAAAATTATGGACAGTCTTGTATCACCCCATTTTAGACCCCATTTGGGGTCCTTAAAGATAGCTGCTGCACTTTTGCATTATTAAATATTTATTTTGGCCCTGTCCACACTGAAAATGGATAATACAGCAGCTACAAAGGTAACAGTTACCAGCTACAATCCAGATTGCAGGTATGTTCTGAATCACAACAGACTCTGCAAATCTGAACAGACCTCTGTAATCCTAGGAACACATATGTTTACCATCATAATAAGTATAACAACTACTGTAGTACTTGGAGTGAATGAATTATTAAAGCCCTGCTCTAGACACCATTATTTTTATATTTTTCTGAGGCCTTAATACTCTGTATGTAGTTGCCGCAGGAATATTGTCCAGGTCCTAACCAGGCACTTTGCCTCGAAGCCAGGCACATAAGCTCACTCACACGTTTCTCCAATAACCAGTCTAGGGTTTTTGTTTTTATTTTTTATTTTAAAAGTATTGGGATAGGGATGAAGGAGATGAGTGGGTTACTCCAAAATAGGTATTATGTACAGTACATTAAGGTCTTTGTCTAATCTTCAGGGCAAACTATATCAGAGTGCTTGAATCAAACTGTGGACTTCAGCTTTAAGGCAGTAGTGACAAGCTGTAGTAGTAACAGCAGTACCTTCTTTAGAGCCCCAGAGCAGTGTCTCTTTAACCACTTGCCCTTTTGAGGATTTACCCCCCCTTCCTGACAAGGCCATTTTTTGCATTACGACTCTGTGTTACTTTAACTGACAATTGTGCGGTCATGCAACGCTGCACCCAAATTAAATTTATATCCTTTTTTTCCTACAAATTGAGCTTTCTTTTGGTGGTAGCCTGTGCATTTTTTTTTTTTTTTGAGCTATAAAAAGACTGACAATTTTGAAAAAAAAAACCTATATTTTTGACTTTTTGTTCAGTAAAAAAATCAAATTTCATTATAAATTTAAGCCAAAATGTATTCTGCTACATGTCTTTGCTGCAAAAAAATCCCAATACGTTGAAATTAATTGGTTTATGTGAAAGTTGTAGCGTTTACAAATTGCGGTATATATACTGGGCTTTTTAAAAAAATATATATTTTTACTAGTAATGGCGGCAATCAGCAACTTAAAGCAGGATGGCGGCAGGCATTCTGACACTGGGGGGAACTGACTTGGTGTCACTGACATCCCCAGTGACACCAATACAGTGATCAGTGCTAAAAAAAGCACTGCCACTCTACTAATGGCACTGGGCAGCAAGCGGTTAACATGTGGGGCAATCAAAGGGTTACCTGTGTGCTGTTTCACTATGTCCTGTGTCCGTGTGCAATCCTCGGCAATCACCGGGTGCCGGCGAGTAATCACCGGTCTGACCTGGTGATTGACAGCTGTAGCCGCAATTGGCGGTGCGGGTAGGGTGCGCACACGCCTAGCGCACACCCCCTACCTGGAAATCTGTGCCACCCTGTAGCAGTATTTCTGCTATAGGGTGGTCAGGAAGTGATTAAAAGTAGGCCAGGTGGATAAAGTTCTTCGGGAACACCAGCCGGTATTCCCCTTGCTGATTTTCTTGCACCAGAGGGGGTTAACCAGCATAAATTCTCTAAGATCCTTTAGAAATGTCTGTACTCACAAGGCCCAAGAGCAGCTTGGAAGAGCCTTCCTCTGTGATACCACACGAGATCTTAAGGCCCTCAGGTCACCCACCTGAGGCTGTACAGCAGCAGATGTTGGGGGGGGCAACATGCCCTCTTCCAGGCTTGGACAATTTATTACAGGAAAGACCCTGAGCCCGTTTGTTCATTGAATATATAGAGTTGCCCACCATGACTTAGAGCTCCTCTCTCTGGAATAGGCTGAGGCTGTATCAATATTCATGCTGCCATCTGCATAAGTCCACACCGATCATCCAGAAACGTCTACAGATTCCTGGGTACAGAGAAAGCCAGGCAGACAGGCAGCAGCTGGGCACACAGAGTAGACCTAGTTAAATGATCACAGCTCACCCAGGGCAGTGAGCTAACTATGCTTTTTCCTAGCAAATATTTACAGCCACTCTGACTACAAAGTGACAACTAAATTTACCTATCAAAGCACAACTAATCCTACCTATCTAATCTTAGCACCTACCTAGGAGGGTGCTACGTACCTTTGCTCTGTATGAGCTAACTGTGTACTTTCATGAAGACTGTCTAAATGCTGTATTTATCTGCCCCCAGAAGGTATAGTTAGAGCTTTGCTCCTTTCAGCTTTGGAGAGGGGTCCATGATAGGCATCACTGCCAGTGTCATGTCTCTGCTACCTCTGCAGTTTACTATTAAGAAAGCATAGCCTATGTTGAAAGCATCTTTGATGCTTGGATGAAAAGTGCCTTCTGCTCGTGAATGAAACCTGTTGACTTATGTAGGTTACCATCATGGTCCCATTTTATGTAGTGTTTGAGGGACCAGGCGAAGTCTGAGAAACCACAATGGACAGTTCTAAAATTCTAATTGGTCTCCCATGCAGAAGCAGAAATTTAATTGAGTGTCCACAAACATCAGTAGTCATCTTTTTATGTCTTTTCAAGTGTAGCCAATATTTCTTCTATACACTTCAAAGGGATAGTGCTATAGCTGTTTGGTCAGCTTTAGCCAAGACAAGCTGAAGTAATAAGCCGCAGACTATGAATTAGTGTATGTGAATGTATTGCTAATTCAGGAAGAGCTCTTGTAACTGTGAAATAAATCAATCTCTATAGAAACTCCAGAGGAAATGCTAAACTATTAGTGGTCATGATGCAAAACTGTGACAATGACTTTAGATTAATGCTTTGAATTCAGCTGGATGGGTAAAGGAAAATTTGAAGAGAGCCTTAGAAGAATAATTATCAGTTGGTAGTGCTAAAATATTAATATCAGCAGCTGAGATTCTCTGCTTGTTAGTACAAGAGCTGGATACCAGAGCTGGATTTAGGGTTTAAAGAAGCTCTGACATCTGAATTATCATATATGGTGGTGTAATATTGTTTGCTTAAAGATGAATTCCAGGTATGGCATTTTTTACATAGTTAAATTAGTCCAGTTTGGACTGATGTAACTATGCATATACATTACCTGTGGGTTCCCTCTAGAAGCTGGGAATCACTGTAGTAGACACGCTGCTCCAGTGATCTCCACAAGCTTCCAGGTCCTGTGCTGAACAGCTGCCTTGCTGTGAACACAGGAACTTGGTCTCTCGGTATGGGTTCTATTCAGAGAATAGTTTACATTCTCTCAATTAATGCAAAGTATTCTCTGATCAGATGAGGTGGAGAGAGTGACATCACTGCCCCCGCCCCTCCAC